GGGGACGGCCCGGAACCCGGCGCCGAGCGCGGCCCGCCGGGCGCCGCCCCTCCGCTCCGCGGGCTCCGCCGCGCCGCCCCCAGCCGCCCTCGGAGGAGGGGGCCGGGACCCTGGTGCTCGCACGCCCGGGAGCGCCCGCGGAGCTCGGGAAGCCGGCCGCGCGCCGCCCCCGCCCCCGGCCGCGGGAGGGCGGGGGAGGGCCCGGCGCGAGCCGGCCGGGGAGTGCGCGGGGCGCGAGCTCCGGGCTCGCGGGCGGAGCGGGGCGCGGCGCGGCGCGGGGCTGCGGAGCCGGGCCGCACGCCCGCTCCCGCTCCCCGCCGCCGGGGCCGCCGTGGGTCCTCCCTCCCGCGCTCGGAGCCGCGGCCCCAGCCCGCGCCGAAAAGCCGGATTCTAAAAGGGAAAGCGGCCCTGGCACCTCCCGGCTACCCGGGCGGGAGCTTTTGTTCGGGAAGCAGTGCACACGGCTTGATCCCGTCCCCCACGTCCTGGGCAGAAAGAGATGGGAGCGAGGCTTGGAGAGGCTCTGGAGGCTCCCTGGGTCCTCCGCTCCGTTCCCTGCTTCCTCCGCATCCCGAAGTTGCCAGTTTTCGACCGGGAAGTGGTGCCGCCGCCATTATCGCGGCGGCCCCGGGGTCGGGGAGGCGGCGGCCGCCGCCGCTTATGTAAGTTCGGCTTTACGGGAGTTCGCTCCGGCCGTGCGCGGCGGTTTGGAGAAGCGTAATAAAGGGGCAGCTTCGTTCTGGAGGTGTGATTGGTCTTTATCTTTCCCCCCATCTACAGGGATACTGGCCACGGGTATCTTCCAGTTTGGGTCACCTGAACTTAGCATCTCAACAGAAAAAAATGGTCCTTAGAGATCTGGAGAGAGAGTGGGGGCCAAATAACACACTGACCAGAAAAGGAAAAAAAAAAAAAAAATCCAACACACTCCTATGTTGCCATGGGTACTGTACACCACTCCGGGGCCTGGTCCATGAGCTTTTATCCCACAAGCCCTAGAGAGAGCGACTGGCAACTGTAGGAAGTGACCCGGTAGGAAGGTTTCGCCTGGCTGCGTTCCGTTGGGGGTGACTACAGGCTGGGGTGCATCCAGGGAACAGGCAGAGTAGGAAGCATCCTTAGAAATAATTCTGTTCAACCCTCACACTTGGCAGATAAGAAAACAGCCTGCCACTTTAGGCAGCTTAACGGTGTTTTCACTTTTCCGTAGAGGGAACTTTGGAGGGTTTTCAGGACTCTGGTCCTACCACACTCAAGTTTGTGTGGTCACCATTCAGTAGAGACTTTGTTTTTCAGGATGTTAGTCTGCCGCATGGAGTCCCTCTGGTAAAAGTTAAAACTCGCAAAAATCTAGAATCCTTTGAGCTTCCCTGTAGGGATAGAGGCAAAAACACCTGGATTTCTCAAATGCAAGCTTCAAGACCAGAGTAGCTTAAGTAACGTATGTTACATCACACAAGAGTGTGGATAGAAGAAAGCAGCTACTGTTCCCTCTCCTCCAATGTTAAATGTTGGGTGTATGTACCTCTCTAACTTTGTCTATATTTATTAAAAGTATATGTACTCTATGTTTATATGAGCCTAGAGAAAAATGTGGAAGGCTGTGTATCCAGCAGGAAATGGTAGGGGTAGAGGGCATTTACTGGCTTTTATTCTATCTGTGCCGCAATCAACATACTTACAAATACGGACACGGGCTTTGTGAGGGGAAATCCCTCAGTGGTTCTCCAGCCCGTCCGAGCTGGACCTGATGCTGCCAGCCACCCTCCTCTCTGTTCCCAACCTGAAAATAGGTACAGGTGCCAATGGCAAGACAAAAAAGGAAAGTTTCTTTTTAAAAATCAATTCTTGAAAACATTCTTGTTTAGAATTTGGGATGGGGGAAGAGCCTACCTTACTCTTGTATGTCCTTTTCTCTTGTAGGACTGGCGTGCCCCTGATCAGAGTGATTCTGATCCGAAGAATTTGGTGTTTAAAGCATTAAGATAATAGCCTGAGTTGTTCATGGTAACTATGACTTTGGATATTAAGTCCTGAAAATATTGTTTGGTGTTAGCTTTAAAATGTCTCTCTCTCGGTTATGTGTTAGCATTCTTTAGGGGACATATGTATTTTCCTCATATTTATTCTTTGTTGAATAAAAGAAAGAAACAATGTTTTTGAAAAGAAACGCAACAGGACACATTATCTTAAAAAGATCACTTTAACACACAGCAGATGTCTTCCATGCCAGTTCTAGACTTCTTTTGCTTGTAAGACACTCGCAGCACTTGTCAAGTGCATCCAACTTGATGACACTTTGATCTGGATGGCAGATATATTGGCATCCAGAGGGGCTGGAGCCTCTCGTCACTGTCTTCCCAAATGTCATCTGATTCTCTGAGGGTCTTGTTAAACCTTGACACTTGTTCACAAGTGGCCCAAAACTGGTGTGGAAAAACTAGAAGACAACACTGAATGGAATGTTCTGGCAATGATATCCCTCTCTGGTTCTGCAGCAGCAATTTGTCTCTTCCGTCAAGGAAGCAGAACACTGAGAGCTGCTGGTTATTTTACTGAATCTTCCTCTGTGTGAAATTTTACTGAATCTTCCTCTGCGTGCAATTAGAGTAGACGCAGCAGATGGCACTGGTGGATGCTTGCCGGAGACCTGTTTCTTAAACCTTGAAGCTGAGTTATTTGTCATTATTACCCGTAGTTGTCAGGAAGCATGGGTTTGGGGGCTAGAGTGCCTGGATTTGAGCCCCGATACTCCACTAAATAACCAGAATATTGGGCAGGTTCCTCAATTCATCTATAAAGTGGGGGTAGTAATACCTAGTTCTCAAGGCCATCTGATCATTGCATTTGTGAAGACGTGGAAAGAAAAGCACGTAGCACAATGCCAGGCAGGTATTACGTGCTCGGTAGAAGTTGCTGTTATGAGTAGGCAAATGCGGAGAACAGTGAAGATAAGTAGCAGGAACAATATGGAAATCCCTAAGTTGGGATACGTCTTTTCTCATATTCTTGAACCACTCCTGACATTGACTTGCTGAAATTGTTAGGGACCAGAAATTGATCAGAAAATGAGAATCTCCCTGTATTTTCTGTATGGAAAAGTATTGTGCATAATTACCAAAGTATTTTTTTAAACATTTTTTGTAGGAGTTTTTCATCAGTATGTCTGAAACCATTAAATACAATGACGATGATCATAAAACTCTGTTTCTGAAAACCCTAAACGAGCAGCGCCTGGAAGGAGAATTTTGCGATATCGCAATTGTGGTGGAGGATGTCAAGTTCAGGGCGCACAGGTGTGTCCTTGCCGCCTGCAGCACCTACTTTAAAAAGCTTTTCAAGAAGCTTGAGGTCGATAGCTCTTCAGTAATAGAAATAGATTTTCTCCGTTCTGATATATTTGAAGAGGTCCTGAATTACATGTACACGGCAAAGATTTCTGTGAAAAAAGAAGATGTTAACTTAATGATGTCATCGGGTCAGATTCTCGGTATCCGATTTTTGGATAAACTCTGTTCTCAGAAGCGGGACGTGTCCAGTCCTGACGAAAATAACAGCCAGTCCAAAAGCAAGTACTGCCTCAAGATCAATCGCCCCATTGGAGATGCTGCTGACACTCAGGATGATGACGTGGAAGAAATCGGAGACCAAGATGACAGTCCCTCGGATGACACAGTAGAAGGCACCCCCCCAAGTCAGGAGGACGGCAAGTCGCCCACGACGACGCTCAGGGTCCAGGAAGCGATCCTGAAAGAGCTGGGGAGTGAGGAGGTGAGGAAAGTCAATTGCTATGGCCAGGAAGTCGAATCCATGGAGACCCCCGAGTCCAAGGATCTAGGATCCCAGACCCCTCAAGCCTTAACATTTAACGATGGGATGAGTGAAGTGAAGGACGAACAGACGCCAGGCTGGACCACAGCTGCCAGCGACATGAAGTTTGAGTACCTGCTGTACGGCCACCACCGGGAGCAGATCGCTTGCCAGGCCTGCGGGAAGACGTTTTCGGACGAGGGCAGGCTGAGAAAGCACGAGAAGCTGCACACGGCCGACCGGCCCTTCGTCTGCGAGATGTGCACCAAGGGCTTCACCACCCAGGCCCACCTGAAGGAGCACCTGAAGATCCACACGGGCTACAAGCCCTACAGCTGCGAGGTGTGCGGCAAGTCGTTCATCCGCGCCCCGGACTTGAAGAAGCATGAGCGGGTCCACAGCAACGAGCGGCCCTTCGCCTGCCACATGTGCGACAAGGCCTTCAAACACAAGTCCCACCTCAAGGACCACGAGCGCAGGCATCGGGGCGAGAAGCCCTTCGTGTGCGGCTCCTGCACCAAGGCCTTCGCCAAGGCGTCGGATCTGAAACGGCACGAGAACAATATGCACAGCGAGCGGAAGCAGGTCACCCCCAGCGCCATGCAGAGCGAGACGGAGCAGCTGCAGGCAGCGGCCATGGCCGCGGAGGCCGAGCAGCAGCTGGAGACCATTGCCTGCAGCTAGAGGCGGGGCACCGGGATGCTTGGGGCAGGGATGCTCTGCCAGCATCCTGCATCCTGACCCATGAACGCCAGCCGCTGCATTTCGGTGGAAACTTACGGAGCATTGTACTCACTGGACTTAAGGCAGTGCTTGGTTGGGTGTTTTGAAAACTTTTCAAGGAAATACCGTTCCTTGGTTCTGACCAAACAGTTTCACTGTCCCGTCTGGTGTCTAGTATTAATGTTGCCAGTAAGAACCCACGCCCCCTGCCCCACGTTTTTATGATTTCTGATTTTAATTTTGAGAACTCTTGTGTCCAGTTCAGAAGTGAGAGACTTCTGTCCCTTTTTAAAATTCCTCTCTCTGCTTGCTGCACCGGGGAGTGCACTGCACAGAGTGATAAATGAGTGAATTGATTTCCTGATCATCACCATTCTATGTGACTTAGGGTTACAACAGCATTTTTAAGAACTTTGGTAAAAGTACCTTGTGTCGACGCAGAAAATACGGGTGGGTGGTTGACCAAGAATCCTGCGTGCGCAGATGTGAAAACAAGTTCTGGGAATGCAAAATGGTCTCAGATTTATATACTTGGTTTGTTAATTTTCTATCACTGTTTTTCATGATTTTTGTGGACAAATAATGGTTGCTTTGCTGAAGTGTTTCTTCATCCCTTTTGACTGCCCATACCTGCCCCCGAAAGGTTTCATCACACGTCCCGAAGGCATGTTGGTGGTCTGAGGGCTGAGTTTTTTCATTCCTCTTAACTTCGGGCATTGCCACTCTGCAGCCGACGGGGTTTGTGGGATGGACCAGTGATGAGAGGGTTAGGAAAAGGAGTACAGGAATCTGGCTCTCAGAGACAAGGCTTGCACATTTGCAACAATTCCAAGATTTCCTAGATCAAAGAAATTCCTAGTTGATTTTGAAATTGGATTTTTGTTTAGGATCAAAATTAGGACAAGAACAGGTATGCCTCTTCGGATACATTTGTGTAACTTAAAAGAGTGTCATCAAGCTTTTGGGCTCTCTGTAGCACGTGGTTTATCCATAAAGGAGATGCAGTGTCCTTCCTTAAATCAATACATTTAAAATTTTTTAAGTGTGTAAATAGTACAGAAGCGTTGGTCTTATGTATCTCAAGTACAAGTAGACAGCTGCACTTTTTTTGCACATTGGATTAAAGTTCCTTCCATCAGCAACAAACATCCGTCTGTTTTTAACCAGTATTAAAGATTGTCAGACCAAATGTTTTTGTTTTTGAAGTATATTTCATCACTGATTACACTTTTAAGTGGAAGTTGACTGCCTTTTCATAGCTGTAAATGGAATTATAAGTGCTGTTCCAATTCTGGTATATGAAACTTCTTTTTAAACATTCTTTGGGAATATATTGAAATACCATCAATAGTTTGAATTATGTTCTGTAATAAAGTATTAATTATTTTAGAATGTACCATTTCGAAAAATGTCAATTTTTAAAATTTATTTTTGGTTGCTAGGATTTTTTTTTAAAGATATACTAAAGTAATTTCATTTCCTAGCTTGTTGCATTAACACCTGTAATTATAATTGTGAGATAAATTTTATTTTTTAAATTGGTGCATATGTTATGCCCAAGATTGTAGGATGAAGATGCTACCTTTTTAAGAAACTTATTTATTGGTAAATGTTTAATTTAGTTTAAAACTAATTTAATTTTTTTCTTAAAAGTTGATTGTTTTCTCCTAAAAGTGGTCCTGTCACTGTGTTTATATACTATTAGTAGAAAGGGAACCGATTGCTGTTCCTAGACTGTTTTAACCAAAGCAAAGGAAAAATAATTTAACATCTTGTGGATACCTACTTCAGCAAATCATTTTTGGGGCCTTCGTTTTTGTATATAAAAGAAAATATACTTCTGTCATTCCTGTTTTCATTTTTTCTTAGCAACCTGTCACATACCCAGGTTTCTACTAAAGTGCATTTTCTATACTGTTTTCGTCCTGGTTTTATAGAATTGCAAGTTCACCATCTGGCATTAACCCTCATTGAAACCACCTAAGCATGGTGGTACCCCAAAAAGAAAGCTTAATATTCAGCACTTTATTTGCATCATGTAAATATGTGTCATTTGTCCTATTTTGCATGAGAAATATATTTGTGTTGTAATTTCCGCCACCGGTGCTGGGTTCATCTGTGCATGTGTTCCTTGTGTTCTGGGTAGCAACTAAGTCATGACGTGGCAGCTGTCCTGTCTCCTGGTCATTAAGCCTGCCTCTCCCCACCCAGCTGGTTTTAGCGTCCCCTGGATGATGAAGCCCTCATGTCCATCAGTTCAAGGGTACCTCCCATCACAGCGAGGTAATTCTGAAACACGCTTAAACTGAATCTGCCTTGTGAGAGGGAAGGAAATTCCAATGTCAATGTTACCACTTTTTCATTATACAAAAACCACCTACCTTTTTTCTGTTTGTCCAAAGAGAATGTCTACAAACTTGATTTAGCTTTTTATGCGAACATGCACGGCATTGGCAGTGATTGAGGAAGGGAATTTTAGGAAGTCTAAAATTTAGGTTATCTGCCTGCTGAGTAACTTGATCACAAATTAGAATTTTTAGACATTACAGGGGTCACCATCAAGTGAGGCTGATACTAACAAATTCCTCCTATTGTGTTGGGGGAAAAAAATTGTGATGAGAGAGTGAGGCAAGTTGATACAGTTTCCAATTTAATGGATTATGTCCTGTAAGGTTATCTGTAACTTTAGTCATTGGGAGCCTGGAATTCATTTTCCAGAGTAATGCTGTTAGTGGTGATTAGTTCCCAGGGCAGATGTAAAAGCCCTTTGTGTAAGTGGAATTGAACTGGTCTGATAAGGGTTCTAGTCTGGAGTTCTGAGTTAGGAGTTAAAGAGAAAGGGAGAACAACTCTCACATTCCTGTCTGCCCTTTACCTTGAACAACTGCCTGCCTTTCTCCTTTACCCAGCACGCCACCCCTACCAAATGTATGGGAGACTAATAAGACGTCCAGCTGGAGGCAAGGTGACCTTTGAAAATCATCATCTTCACTGAAAGCTGTAAGCACGTGAGGGATGGGAATTCCCTGCCTATGTGATGAACGCCCACTGCCATCCCGAGACATCTAACTGCTCCTCGTGCCTTGCATTCTGTCTCTGTTTTTTGCCTACCCCCTTGTAACTAGGAACTTTCTCCACCTTGGAACTGTTCAAAATACGTTTAGTCCTGCTTGACAAAGCTGCAGATACGTGAAGACAGTGTGTCCTTAATTCAGCATGTCTCAAGTGTTGCGTGTGAGGCCCTGGGCTGAAGGTGGCGTTTGCCCCTGATTCCTTAAAGGTCACCATACTGATCGTCTCTCAAGGGCCCTGGATGTGATTTCTCTGGATTGCGACAGATTTCAGCAGTTGTGTGATTCCATGATATCTTCCAGAGATGCTCCCAATTACCTTTCTTCACATAAATCTTTTCAAGATAGCAAGGAGAGAGGGTGGGTTAGTGGAAAGAATTTTGAAGTCAAACTTGAATTGGATCCTGGTTCTGCTTTCCAATGAACGTATAAATTTAGGCAAATTCTTAGCTGCCCCGACCCTTCATTGCATTATTTCTAAAATAGTGAGGCAGATGTTTACTTCATGGCCTGCTGTGAAGATGCGTGGTAACCAGTACACACCTACTTTTGAGGTGCACTGTAAATGTTCCCTGCTTCTTAAAGGGCATTCTCAATACAGAAGCAGGAGCAAGATTGAATTTCTCTTGACGTTGACATCTGTCCATCTTTGGCTCCAAGCTGTAGACCTAGACCTCATTCTGTGATATCTACAGAAGCTGTGTTTATCTTAGCATTTCTGTAATCTTCAGCCAGTTCACAGCTTTATCCTCACAAACTCCTGTATTCCTCTTAGAGTTGTCTTTGGTTCTGTAATCCCCCATCCTTTAAGTAGGTCGTGGGAGTGTAGTCAAGTGTAAACGCTGGGCTCTGGGTAGCTCCCTGCTGTTCTTTGGGAATATGTGTGATGGCAGAGTCAGAATTGCAATTTTGAGAGCTGGCTTTTGAGTTTCATCCCTGAAATCGTGCATTTGGGGAGATATGTTTACATTTGCTTTTCAGAAGTTGAGTGTATTTGAGTCTACACCTGACCTTTCCCTTCCTGGTTTGTATGGATTCCAAGATGATCTGTTGTCTTCTCCCCAAAGGGCCTGGGTCTACTGCACAAGAATTCTGATCTTCCTTTAGTTCCAGAATACCAGTTTACTGAATCACTTTGCTCTCTTTTGGAGGATATTTCCATCCATCTTACATGAAAGTACTTTCTGTGGCGTAAGATTAAAGTATATCAGTCAACAAATGCTTACTGCATGTCTTGTGTGTGCCAGGCATTGGACTGGATGCTGGGGATGCGACAGTGAACGGGACTGACACCACTCTCAACCTCATGAAGCTTACGGTCCAGAATGCAGTTAAACGATGACTTTTCCAAGTCTTACAAAATTTTACAAAGACTTACAAAAGATCATAAATATGAAAAATGCTTTAAAAGCTCTGCTGTGACGTGTATTTCAATGCAGTTCATGGAATATGCTTTAGAAGGTAATTAAGCATTTTTAGTACATAGTCATGAAATTTAGTCATACCAAAAGAAACATTCTCAGATAACTTTTTGAATGTGTACTGAGAAAATGTATTACAATATTACTATTTTCAATGGTTCTCAACTTCTGTCATTGATACTGGACTTTGGAAACAGGAGTGTAAAATGAGACTATGGTTTATTTCTTAAAAGTCATGGATTCTGGACTTCCCCAGTGGTGCAGTCGTTAAGAATCCACCTGCCAATGCAGGAGACACGGGTTCAAGCCCTGGTCCAGGAAGATCCCACATGCCGCAGAGCAACTAAGCCCGTGGGCAACAACTACTGAGCCAGCGCTCTAGAGAGCCTGCGAGCCACAGCTACTGAAGCCCGCACACCTAGAGCCCACGCTCTGCCACAAGAGAAGCCACCACAATGAGAAGCCTACG